GGGCTCTGAACTTATCACATTGTTAATCTATTTTGCACATGCAAACAAATAGCAACTTACTAAAACGTTAATATATATATATATATATATATAAGAAAGTAGTCGTTGTATAATTATAATATAAAATTTTTAATTGGATGGAAGAACATAAACATACACATATATATGTTTTTGATTCCAGATAACCCTGCATGTTAAACAGTGGGATTTCCACGACTTTCAGAATGAGATTCGGGTGGTTCCGAGTCTTGTTTCTTTGGTTAAACTAAAGTGACGCATGTTTTAAAATGTATAAGAGAGATAAGGAGGGAGGGAAAGAAGTGTAACAAAAATGTCTATTATTTTTGCATTAACAATGTTTTGTAGTGATCACCATTTAAAAATTTTATTTAAAAGTTTCTGTTTTACAATAATGTTTGCTTTAAGTAGAATATATCTAATATGCTGGGGAAGAATATTCGTGTAGCGAGATTGTTAGGTGATGTAAGGGCAAAATGTATAGCCTTCAATGGTTTCCGTGGAAGCGGTAAAAGCTCGCACAACAAAGAGTTTAGGACAACAATGGGCTATGAAGTCACATCTCAAGCCTATCCGGAAGAGTGATATCATCCCCAAAGTAATGGTTCTGGTTACGAAAGAGATCTTTGTGATTAAACAAATGACAGTGATGAAGCCTGGCATATCTCCTGGCACGACTAATAAGATAATAATTAAAGATTTACAGAACACGACAAAAAATGACTATTTTTCATGAGAAAGGTGGTCAAACAAACTGGAACTACAAAATCCCTTTGGAGCAGATAAAAAATAGTTACTGCAATAGCAAGAGGAACAGTAGGAAGTGTTACATAAAATTAAATCTGCATTTCTAACTTTGACGGATGGGAACGAAAGGGATTGAGAATAGAGTAAAAAAATAAATGTAAATCCCTTAATACTCGCAATCACACCAAAAGTAAAAAAATGAGCGCATGGTAATAACAGCAGCACTACTTTCAAAAGGTTGATAACTATATAACATTTGCTACCCATTTTACATTTGGGTCATTCTATATGTACAAATATCGACTACACACCCTCCAGGTATTCCTAAACCTACCACTTGATCTCGATAGAGAAATTACATAGTACTAAACTACATATATTTCCAATGAAATAGTTAGATGCATCAAAGGGAAATGATATGACAATATGTAACGAGTAGTCTAACAAGTTAGTTGCATGACACAACTGGTTTCTCACTACTAAAAGAGTTTATGTATGAAAACGTTTGTGAATTTCAGATAGAAATGAAATGCTCTTTTGTCTGTACTCGAAAGGAACAGAAACATCTGGCATGTTCCACATACCACACACATGTCTGTCAGGTTTCCCAGTGTGACTTCGATGAATGATTGTTCTTTTGGTTTGATTGAACGTTGTGTTGGAAGCCGAAGTCTGTGGAAAGTTATTAATACGTGTGGTTTAGTATTTACAAGCAGAAGCTTGTTACAATGGATATGTTAGGCAATAATATCTGAACATGGGCAACATAAAGTGCACAGTCAATTATAAAGAAAGTAGTTCCAGCAGCACGAGAACTGGGAAAGTAGTCCCATCAGAACGAGGAGTGTTACTCTTATAAAGTCCAGTTAATCTTAACAGTCAAATGTAAAATAATAATTAGTCTTGTAAGCTATTACAAAACTGCACGTGATAATGAATAAATCACTTCTTCAACATAAAAACTTCAGAGCAATGATTCAGAGTTTCATCTATTTACTGTGAAGCCTAGGTTGTCTACACAACACCGGAATGTCAGACCAACGAACCAAAGTAAAGCCTAACTACTGTGAATAAGAACATTGATCGATCACAAAATAGATTTAATAATCAAAATTTGCAATTAAGTAAAGAATGGAAGTGAAACCTTGAACTTTAAAAAATAATCATCTTATGCACGTGAGGGCTAAATAACAAGGTCAGACAGAAACGCTTACAGTTCAGATATGGTCATCACCATTCTTGTACTTCTGAATGGTTGGAAGGAATGCAACTGTCTAACAAGCAGCCCTCACCACTATCGAATCAAACGACGGGATTAACTGTTACTTTTATAACTCTCTTACAACTGAAAGTTTGAAACATCTCCAGGGATATCCCATCTGGAGTTTGTACAGTGTAAGAGTGAGCCCAGGAATTTGGATGTTAGGGAAGAGTTTGTACAGTGTAAGAGTGAGCCCAGGAATTTGGATGTTAGGGAAGAGTTTGTACAGTGTAAGAGTGAGCCCAGGAATTTGGATGTTAGGGAAGAGTTTGTACAGTGTAAGAGTGAGCCCAGGAACTTGGATATTAGGGTAGAGTTCGTACAGTGTAAGAGTGAGCCCAGGAACTTGGATGCTAGGAATAAGTTTGTACAGTGTAAGAGTGAGCCCAGGAACTTGGATGTTAGGAATAAGTTTGTACAGTGTAAGAGTGAGCCCAGGAACTTGGATGTTAGGGTAGAGTTTGTACAGTGTAAGAGTGAGCCCAGGAACTTGGATGTTAGGGTAGAGTTTGTACAGTGTAAGAGTGAGCCCAGGAACTTGGATGTTAGGGTAGAGATTGTACAGTGTAAGAGTGAGACCAGGAACTTAGATGTTAAAGAAGAGTTTCGTGGCACCTTTTCATGTAGAAGTAATCTACACAGGGATGGGTTTGACCTGGTGTTTATCGTGTCAGGCTGAACGTCGAAAGGCCCAACTCGATATGCACTTCCAGGTGTTAGAACATTATAATAGTGACAGTCAATCCCGTTATTTGGTTCAAAGATCTAGGAGCTGGTCAGTAATTCAAAGTTAGGAATGGATGTTCTCTACAACTAACTTTATTACAAGGTCGGAGCGGTTTGTTACTTGTAATTTTTTGAAAACTTCAGTAAGTGCAGACTAATCTCTCAGCAGTGTACCTTTTCGCCAATATTTAATATTACGAGCTACGATCATTTGCTATATTGCTATTTCATTAATCATTATGTTAAAAAGATCTCTAATAACAAGCTAGAGAGAGACCTGAATAGCCGTGGATTACGGTTTCGAATCCCATTACCAAAAATGAGCGACCTTTCAGCCGTGGGGGCGTTATAAAGTGACCGTCAATCCTACTCTTCGTTGACAAAGAGTAGCCCAAGAGTTGGCGGAAGGTGGTTTTGATAGCCCTGGGGGTCTTTGTGGAAAATTCAACAAATAAACAAACAAAACTAGAGAGAGAGAGATAATCAACCGTATACTATTGAGAAGGTTTTAATATTAACTAAACATGCGCTTGTGTAAACTCGAACGAAGTTATAATGAGGTAAATAAGGAACTCGTTTACAAACTATGAATTCTATACTTTTTAGTGTCTGTCTGTTTCCAAGACAGTCGAAATGGATCTCAACTCGAGCGAGTAAAGAAAATCCAAATGTATCTTGAAGATAAAGAGGCTCGCCTTATGGACTTCTTACGTCCATATGGCTCGCCTTATGGACTTCTTTGGTCTCTAAACATAAAACATCGCTCACTGCTGCTTTTACTTTGCCTAACGCGAATGGACGACTTCATCGAAGCACAGAGTGAATCAATGCAGATTTTATTACACTACCGCTTCTTTCTTTTTTCTTTTTTTTTTTAGTCTCCTAACGCTGAGCAATAATGTGAAATGGATTTTCTTCGTCTTGTATTGGATTTTTTCTTCTTTGTTTTAGTAGTACAAATAGCGAAGCAATAAATCTTAGGAAAACGATTTTTAGAATTTGCAATGAAAAAGCAAATCTAATGAGTGACAGATAATACGACGAGAAAAAAAAAATTAGTAGCCTAGAAATCAAATGACAAGTTAAAATCAGGTTTTAACTGTTTATCATATTTATATTTTACTGTTCTTATTATTACAAACGTCAACACTCTTGGGTTTGCTTCAGTGGAGAAAAATAAAGATACTTAAATCTCGTAATGACTAAGGAAGGATTTTCAAAAATGTATATGGTGTACGTTAAAGCACTTTGTTTTTAGCAAGTCCATTATGGGTTCCCAGTAATGATTTCTCGTGCCTATGGTGTACGTTAAAGCACTTTGTTTTTAGCAGGTCCATTATAGGTTCCCAGTAATTATATGGTGTACGTTAAAGCACTTTGTTTTTAGCAGGTCCATTATGTGTTCCCAGTAATGATTTCTCGTACCTATTGTTTTCTAAGCGCATCTTACTTCTAGTCACTGATTTACAATATTATAATCCGGAGCTCGATTTCAGCAATGGACAGGGCGTAGATAGCTCATTATGTAGCCTTATGATGATGATGATGATGATGACGACAAAACCATGTCGAAACGTTGTACGTTTGCTGTTATGTTAAACTTATATTAAAGTTTTTCTTCGTTACCCATTCAATCCGTCTCCAACCATTATTAGTCACAAAGTGGGTTCCTCGTCATCGAAAATGTAGTTTTATGTTTAACAACAAATAAACCAGCGTAAATGAAATGTCGTACACACCTGAAGAAGGCCGTATCTGATCTCTATGGGCATGAAATCGTATTCCCTAATAGTAGGAGGCAGATTTTGGGGCAGTCTGTCTTCCAAACATCCAAGTACGTTGGCGAGACTTCCAAACACCGGCTCCGTTGCAAAAACAAGGGTATCGCTGGAAATGAATTGCATGGTTTTACTTCAAGTTTTTAGAAACAGCAACGTGTCGCGTACATTTTTAAAATGGGTTTTTAATCTTTATTAAATTTACTTCGAATTTTATTTATAAAGATCAAATGAGTGGTAAAATTTACTACATTTTTTTCTTTTGAAGTTACTTTTTATTGCTATTAACTTTACTATTTAAGGTATTTTAATATGTAAGCTGGGAACAGAAACTTTTCCTGTAAAATAACAAATTTCTTAACTCTAGCTTCGACTTTGTAAAAGTGGAGCGTGCGGTATTTTTATGGTGAGATTCTTATTTAAAAACATGTGTAAACAATTCGAGGAGGTTCTTCGACCAAATGAACAACAGCTAGAATTACAGGATATTCTAGGAAACACCATTTGTTTCCAACGTTACCCAGAAGAATCAACTAACACTGTTACATAATTATTTGATTATAATGACCAATATTGAAGCAATTACAAAAACGTAAAATTAGTAGATGATCGTAAAAGTTAAATAGGGGGGTTGACTCTTAACGCCTGGTGGTTAAAACGCTCGGCTCGCAGGCTGTGGGTCGCGGGATCGAAACCTGGCGCCAAACATTCTTGCTCTTTCATCCACGTGGAAGTTATAATGCGACATTCAGTTGGTAAAAAGAGTAGCCCAAGAGTTGGCGGTGAGTGCTGCCGGCAGGTTGCCTTAACTTTTTGGTCGGCAGTTCAAAATTAGCGATCGGGGCAAATAACCTCAATAGCTTTGCATAGACAAAACAGATAACTAAATCTAAGAATGGAAGCATGTAGAAAAAGTGCCACAACATCCATAGGTTATCATAACAATACACAAGAAGTATGGGCATGGTATTGTGTGGAATTACAATTTTCTTGGCTGTGTTAATTAACGTTTGCCCTTTCAATTTGTTACTGTATAGTAGTTCCAATCTCAGTTTAAAAAAAAGAAACATTAGGTTTTCACAAATGAGATTTGTAAGTTACTTTTAAACCGATAATGTTAGCTTAACCTTAAGGTCTATAAAAAAAGACTGTTTCGTCGCATTTAGCACGTGCTAACAACCCTGGACAGTGATTATATCGTTTACCCTAAAGCGTAATAGAAAGGCTGGAGCTAAAAAAAAAAGGAAGGCCTGACAAGCAAATTTTTTTAACAGAAGGTAGACCAGTTTAATCCTGGACTAAGGAGCGTTTTGGAATAAAATATCTAGTTTGTAGTCAAGACCAGGAAAACTAGGCTTCTGGTGAACGATGTTATACTCCCGGGAACGGATTCCTTACAATTTTGAACAATGTTTTCAGTTAAGATAAAAGCAGACATTTGACATTTTACGCAGGTAATTGAGACAGAAAGAAAACATTGGCGGGTTACTTCACGCAACCGGATTTTATTTGCTCTGAAAGTTTGGACGTTGGGGGAAATGAATGTCGAGTATCACTTCCCTGTCGCACATCAGACGTATAGTGTGAAAATTTGTTCTTTGCACAAGAAAGATCAAAGTAGAAACTCGTGTCAGACATTAAAATAACACGTTTTGTTTTTATATCACTCTTTTCAAAAATCACAATTAAGGTACATTTGGTGTGGTGATGAATACAAAAAAAAAAAGATATCGGAGCTGTCCCATTTTCACTAACTCGTAATTTGAATGTCGTATTAGCTGTTAAATAATTATGATCTTTTATGAATAAACTGAAATACGTCATTTAATAAGTTATATATTTTATGCTCTTTTATTTGGCCACGCTGCTTAGGACAGTTGAGAACAACTTTAACAGGTCGTGGGCAACATTGCTCGGGACAGTTGAGAACAACTTTAACAGGTCGTGGGCAACATTGCTCGGGAGAGTTGAGAACACTTTAACAGGTCGTGGGCAACATTGCTCGGGACAGTTGAGAACAACTTTAACAGGTCGTGGGCAACACTGCTTAGGACAGTTGAGAACAACTTTAACAGGTCGTGGGCAACACTGCTTAGGACAGTTGAGAACACCTTTAATAGGTCGTGGGCAACATTGCTCGGGACAGTTGAGAACACTTTTAATAGGTCGTGGGTAGCACTGCTTAGGACAGTTGAGAACACCTTTAACAGGTCGTGGGTAGCACTGCTTAGGACAGTTGAGAACAACTTTAACAGGTCGTGGGCAACACTGCTCGGGACAGTTGAGAACACCTTTAACAGGTCGTGGGCAACATTGCTCGGGACAGTTGAGAACAACTTTAACAGGTCGTGGGCAACACTGCTCGGGACAGTTGAGAACAACTTTAACAGGTCGTGGGCAACACTGCTCGGGACAGTTGAGAACAACTTTAACCGGTCGTGGGCAACACTGCTCGGACAGTTGAGAACAACTTTAATAGATGTGAGATGTTTATGTTCATATTCTATAGCACGTGTTAGAGCTTTATTATAACTTCTGATTTTCAAGGAATACATGACCAGAAGTTTGTCACCTGTTACAGAAAACAGAAGTTACTAGGGGTGGGGCACTTAGTGGAGCGTATACCACCCACACGCAGCATTGATAATATTTAGCTCTCACGAAATGCGAAAATCTGTCCTTATGTCCGTCGTCATCAACGGACACGGACCATTTTGGGCAGGACAATAAGGAATAATATTCTACATATATCCAAGAAGTTTAATCAAAAATAGTTTGAAAAATCGGTCCACATGTTAACAGATAGGGATTTTTTTTCGTGACCTTTCTATGACCTCCATAAACTAATCGTTTCTAAGTTGGATCATAGTCCAAATATATACCAACTTTCGTTCAAATCTATTCAGCCATTTTCGATACATCTTGCTAACAAACACACATACACACACAGAGAGGTGGGAGACATAATCTCCGTCCACCCTCGGTGGTTGAGATAAAAAATTGTGCTGTATTCCGATTCTGATTCGTCGAAAGATCTGCTGTTCATTTAACAATTTGCATATGGAATAACAACTGACATTCTTTGTGAAATGAAACGTTTTGTATGGAAACTCGAGAAGACACCCACGTGTTGTTTGACACAAGTCTAATTTTAATCATTTGCAGTTACACTGTACAGTAATTACGTCAAGCATTAATTATTAACTCCTGATCAATCGTGTTGGCAGGGTGAAATCGTACACCGGTTAGAGAACCCCCTGGTCCACCATTTTGGATATTTTTTCATAAGTGTTGACAAATGAAAAGACAATACGTCTATTAACCCTACAGAACTGAAACAAGTATTAGTAATTATCTTTTTAAATTTCACAGTTTTTATGGTCAACATATTAGCATCAATAGCAAGTAGAATGTATAGAGGTAACTATGTCGATGATTCCACACAATGGGTTATCTGTTGTGTGCTCACTGCAGGGATCGAACCTTGTCTTCGTGATAAAGCTAGGTCACAAGGCAATGCGGTGTGGACACCTTCGTCCGTAAAGGTGCAGCCAAGTTTTTGTAACGTGCTACTCTCCTTATTTACGTCTGGTTACACTTTGTACTTCATCAAGTGTAACTTGGTTCTCGGTTTGAATCATTACTGCTTTAAAGTTAACGTTATTCGATGCTATGAGTAACAATTACTCTCATAACAATTACTCTCATTACTTGTATAATCTGATCTTTTACGATACTAATTTTTTTTTTTTTAGGAATCTTCCGTTTTCATCTTTGAAAAACGTGTTGCAGATAAAATTCATAAGCCCAAAAGAAGGGAGACCATTACTGATATCCTGAGATTTAGCGCAAGACAACTGGACCGATTTAAACATCCAAAACTGTTGACGTTATATCATCCAGTGGAAGAGTCTTGGTGAGACGTTATTAAATCACTTATAATATATTATATCTTCTGTTTGGTATCCTCGCTTTTGATGACATTTTCGGCCGTAAACCCAATAATAACTCATGAGGCTTGGCCAGCTTAAAAGATTGAGTTAAGTCCTAAATTCATATACTCTGCTAAAAATGGAAAATAATCTCTATAATAAAAGTATACTCATAAATAATAATCATAATAATAAAATAATAAATAGTAAAGCTAAAAAACTTAGATATGTTAAGCATTTTTGCCAGTACACTGCTACTCAGAATAACATTAAAGAAATAATACAGTGTACCTCACCTACTGAACACACTGAATCATTAGTTCTTATTTTCTACTACTATTTCATGTTAATTGCAAAGAGAACATCAGAAAAGTGTAATTAATTAGCTTTGGTCATTACCAGGTTGATTTTTAGTTTTGTTCTAAATGAATAGTTAATTATAATTAAAGGAATAAACAATTATCAAAGACAAAAAAACAACAACAACATCTATGAGAGAGCACCAGTTTTGTTTTATCTGTATTTCAATTAATTCCGGCCTTACTAACAATGAAGTATCCTGACGTATAACTGTTTTATAAGGTTAAATTCCGTTTTCTTTATGAAGTGATTTCCAAAGTTCATTACCAGTGCTTTACATTTCGGTTAAAGATTTTAATACATCAGGTTATATTGTTTTTCCATTTTCTCTGTCGTTTCAAAGCGATTGCTTGGAGGGACTTTACAAATACGTGAACATGAAATCGCTTGTTTAAGAAAACGAGGAAGAACACGATGCTCGAAAACAAAAGTAAATAAAGGCGCGCGTATATCAATCTCTCTTGTTCACGTGCTGTTAGACACAATGCATTTATTCATCAATAATTTGTATAAAAACTTCAGGTCTTAATTTACGGTCCCCTGGAGTTACGAAGCTAAAATCCGAGGTTCGATTCCCCGCTGTGGACAGTGTGCAGGTAGTCCATTGCTTAGCTTTACGTTTAAAATGAACAACATCTTAACTGACGTGCGATGATGACCAAATATTGTTAAATATATTTTGTTGTTCAGAGCTTGCCTTTGCAAGCAGTTGACAATAATTTGGATCAGAACTTTTGATCTTAACTGTTTTGTTACGATGACTAAGTATTGTTAAATCAGTTGTTTTGTTGTTCAGAGCTTGCCTTAGCAAGCAGTTGACAATAATTTGGATCAGAACTTCTGATCTTAACAGTTTTGTTACGATGACTAAGTATTGTTAAATCAGTTGTTTTGTTGTTCAGAGCTTGCCTTAACAAGCAGTTGACAATAATTTGGATCAGAACTTCTGATCTTAAGAGTTTTGTTACGATGACTAAGTATTGTTGAATCAGTTGTTTTGTTGTTCAGAGCTTGCTTTACCAAGTACGATGCCCCAGGCATTAAAGCAATAAGATCGTTCAATCTACTAATTGGTTGAGCGGTAACAGAAGTTCGAGGGAGAGCACGTCTTTCATTTTTGTATTATTAAGGTTCATAGTAAAAGCCCGATTGTTATTTAAATGGTGAAACATCACGTATTTTCTTACACTTTTGCGATTCATAAAAATAATGAGTACATTTTGATTTTAAATGTTATTTTTTTCACTCTACAATGAAAGGCCTTAAACACCGGATTTTGCTTAATACACTTGGGAGAAATCTTTCTGTTCTGCAAAGTTTCCTCTTTTATTTCAGATCTGTTAAACAGTTGAATCCTGGACGCTGTTATGACTTAAACCGTAATTTACTAAACAATGTTCCCAAAAGGGTTAGTGTGTTGGGCTGCGGATCGGAAGGTATAATGTACCACTGACCAAGCTCCGCACTTTCAGTTACGGAACTTCATAGCTGTGACAGTAAATTGTGTTATTAGGTTAAGAGAAGCCGTATGGGCGGTGAGTATTGCTGACTGATCTTCCATATTCCTGGTCATTAATTTTATATTTTGATTGTTATAACTGGACACTACACAAATGGCCTTTAGCCCAGGTGTTACATAAAGTGCCTTTCAGATTGAAAATAACAGACCAGTATAACTTTCTCTTCAAGGGCCTTCCACCTACTCACAGTAGGAGGCTACGACCTCCTAGATGTACTCATACAAACTACAAACCCTACTACAAGGGGAAGAAGCAACGAACTTCTACATGTAGTGATACAAAAATAACTACAAATGGAACATTGAGCTACTAGATATACTAACATAAAATTATAGTAAGTTTTGTATTAGTACATGTAGGATATCCTAGTGTCTTCCCTTGTCAGTACAGCTCGTACTTTGTTCCCATGTACTGATACACAAGGGCCAAGCGAGAACTAATGGTTCGCATCCCCTTGCCACCAAAACACGGTCTGCATTTCATAGGGGTGGGGGTGAGTACTTTTTAAGAGTAATTGTAAAAATTCTATTACTCGGTCAGGCAAGAGTAGCCCAAGAAATGACGGTGGGGGCTGTTGAGTAGCAGCCTTATCCTTATTCAGTTAGTGCTCTAGATGTAATCTTATAACTGTTACTTTAAAATATGACCTAAAAAAGTATGTTTAACGGTTATCTTACATAGCTCGTACAAGCATGATTAACAAGACAGCATTATTGATTGTGTGGAGCTCTTAAATACATAGTTTTTCCTTAAGCGTGGTCTGTGTTTGTTTGTTGTATTTCATGCAAAGCTTTTCGACAGCTGTTTATGCTAGCCGTCCCTGATTGAGAAGTGATATAGGTTAGAGTGAAGGCAACTAGCTAACACCACCCACCGCCAACTTTTGGACTACTCTTACCAACGCCACATTATAACAACTCGCAGCTTAAAGGGGCGAGCATGTTCGGTGAAGGGATTCGAACCTGCGATCGGAATATTGCAAGTCGAGCATCCTAACCACGAGGCCATGCCAGGCCCCCATAGAACACCCTGACGTACATTTCTAAATACCAGATATTTGCTCCATTTCCTGTAATATATTAGATTTATGAAGGTTAGGTTCATATCTCAAGTTTAAATTGTGAACAATCTGAATTAAAAAAAACAACAACAACGAAGACATGAATGAATTAATTAAACGTCACTATTATTGTTTCTAAAATGTTTGTATCATGTTGCATACGTATTAATTGTTGACTGCTGTCTCGTGATGCAGTGGTTAATCAAGTAAAACGCCTGTAATGTGTTGATAGTTTCTTCATAATGTACTAGTTAACTCAGTAAAATGTTGCCATATCGTCAACCACGGGAATGGTTCGTAATAGGGATCGCCCATTTATTGTTATTTATTATCATACAATATCTTCCCGTCAGCCTACAGCAAAAATGGCTGTGAGTATTGTAATAAAATTTGAGTAATATTATTAAACGCATCATTGCGCGTTGTGTAAGGTCGTTTTTAAGGCTATTTGACTATCTAGCAAATAACAGCGGCTGTACGTTAACACCCAATCGTTTTAATGTAGTATGTGGTTTATATGGAGCCTCATAATCAATCTATACAACATACATACATATACAGCTGCGTGCAAGACATGGATGTAACGTAATGTTTACAT